GAGAGACCTACGCTGCTGCAGAGACTGGAGGCAGCGCGCAAGTGGACCAGACTTCGGAGACGAGAGCGGGGAGACAACAACGAGATGGGAATGAGGGAAGACCGTATCGAGGGTGTTGATGAGTAGTCTATGAGGGAACAAGATACGGCGTTGAAAAGACAGAAGGATGAGAGGTGACGGGCCACGGCGATCAGAAAAAGACAGAGCACAGACACAAACAGATTTAACCAAATTACTTGCTATAGCCTTTTATTTTGTGCCCCGAAAATACCTTTGAAATACTGCAGTGGGTGAGTAAGAAAGATTGTTATTTGTTTTTATAAAAGGAACCTGTATGGACATGTATGCAGGCTGGGGAATTATTTATCTATAACATTTTACGATTTGATTCGGACTAATTTAAAGAAGTGCTAATTCACTAGAAACATAGAATCACCTCCATCGCCAATACAGAGACCAGGGGTTTAAAGACTATATGAAAAATGTTCACAAAGTTCCGGCCGGGAGCTCCGGAGTTTAAACCACACGCTGGACAATTATAGTGAGCTTGGGAGATCAGCCACAGGAGAGATCTCCGCCACTAGGGGGGGCCCTCTCACTAGGAGAGGCCTTACCTTCCACCCACCAGCGGGGGAAAGGGGGATATTTTTGAAACCCCCGAAAACCTTGGAAGACCAAGTTCTGATGTTTAATTTGTATTTGTTTAGCTTAGCGGTTGCTGCTACTATATATATTGTGTTTTGTGACATGGAGGGAACGAAAATATGCTTTGAAGGGAAATATAATGCAACGTAGGGGAATCAAAATGGTGTCGTTAAATGTCAATGGTTTGAACAATCCGATTAAAAGGGGGAAAGTATTAACCACATTTAGAAAGGAGGAGATGCAGGTTATCTTATTGCAAGAAACTCACCTATCAGTACAAGAACATGAAAAACTGAAAAGGTATGGATATAACAACACATTTTATAGTTCATTTAAGCAAGGTAGGAGAGGGGTGGCTACACTAATTGGGAACTCAGTAAAATTTGAAATAAACAAAGAAATATATGACAGAGAGGGGAGGTATGTGGTGATCAAGGGGAAAATGGAAGGACAAATGGTTACACTAATTAATGTGTACGCCCCACCGGACAGCGATAAGACTTTTTTTAAGGAATTGTTTGATATCATAGCTGTGGAAATGGAAGGAATCCTGATTTGCGGGGGGGACTTCAATGTGGTACTAAACTATGATTTAGATACAACAAGTACAAGGAAGGCTAGGACGCATATTGTCAGATACATGAACATACAACTGAAGAAACTAGGAATCACAGATATATGGAGAGATATACACATACTAGATAGAGACTACACACACTACTCACACCCACACTCAGTCTATTCTAGGATAGATTACTTTTTTATGTCAAAGGGAAATAAATATAGGGTAGAAGACTGTAGAATAGGTGTTACAGACCTGTCTGACCATAGTGCAATATATCTAACATTGAATCTAAATGGTAGGAGGAAGAACACCGTCTGGAGATTGAATGTGGGTCTATTAAACAATAAGGGGTTAGTGGACGAAATAAAGAGAGAGATAATCAGATATAAGGAGGAAAATGATAACGGGGAAGTAGACCCAACTATTCTGTGGGATGCACTAAAGGCAGTATTAAGGGGGAAAATAATAGCACAAACGGCACACCTTAAAGGGGACCTATCATGCAAAATGCACCTTTGGACGTCTTTTATACATGAATATGTGTCCCCGGTGTTCCAGGGAACTCACCAAGTGTCAGAAAACACAACCCTCTCTATTTTCCTCCTTCGCCAAATCTCTAAAAAACGGGCTGAAACGGATCTGAAAAAAACGGATCCAGATTTCAACACTTTCCTACGTCACAAAGAGACGTGCTCCGCTTATTGGTCAACTCTCCACCTATCAGGGGAATGAGCCACGGCCACGTGCATTGCCAAACCTCTCATTCGCATATAGGCTATCGGCAGGCTAAATCAACTCCAGTCACATCTGTGTTTTTGCCTGGTCTTGCCAGGATGTCTAAGCGAGTTAAACTTTGTGCTGTTGTTGGCTGCAAGACTCGAGAAGGGGGACTGCATGCAATGCCATCAGTGGAAAAAGAAAATAATCTGTGGCTAGACTTCATTTTCAAGGGACATGTGCCAGAAGACCACGGCAGATTTCTGTTTGTGTGTTCCAAACATTTTACCACGGACATGTTTATGAACTTCTCTCAAGTCCAACACGGATATGCCTCCAAGCTAATGCTAAACCCGGGATCAATACCAACCATCCGGGACCAGGCCAGTGAGGACACATCCAATTTTGAAGCTGTACGTTTTTATTTAGCGGTGTTTTTCCTGATAAAGCTATCTCTAGCTTGTAGTATGTAGCATGTAGCATGTAGCTTCGCCGTATCAATGTCGCCTCAAACCCAAATAGTAATCGGTTAGGTGTTTATAACATTTTATATTGTACGCTCCGCAGTCTTTGCTTTGTCTTTTATTTTAATTATCAGGCATTTGCAAACATGTTCAGACATACTGCCGTAATGGCGATCTGTGTGAAGGCTGTAAAGCCACGCCCTAGCCGATAACACAAGTATTTATTCTCCTATTTATTAGTATTTTGTATCCTCTAAAATCCTATTGAGTAAGTTATAATAACAAACGTAATCTTCTGTAGGTAAGTGCCGTTTTTTCCAGCGTTATATGTAAAAGCTTTTGTGATTGTAGTCTGTAAGAACGATCAGATCTGTAAGCTAAGCTACGCTACGCTAATGAGACATGCCGTTTTTTCCAGCGTTATATGTAAAAGCTTTTGTATGTTTACTTGTTTACGCACATGAATATAAATGGGGATGTGTTAGGATACAACACTGTGTGTATGTATGTGAGGGGGGACACACACCACGAGTAAAACAGAACTAAAGCCCCGTTGGTCTGTTGTTGTTGACGAGGCCTTACCTAGCAACAGGCTAATTAGTGGCTAGCACTCATTACAGTCAGTCTACTGAGCTCAGCCCCTCTCCAACACATCATCTGTATTGAGTCAGAAACACAGCATGCACGTTACGGTTCAAAACTAACTCAGATTGGAAAAGGCTAAGCAAAGAGCTTTGCTAAATAGAGAGTTTTAGCCCCCATCTTTTGGGATTTCAGACGATATTTATCCAAATAGTATTTTCTCATCCTGAATACTAAATTGAGATGATTTTGTTTTCTTCTTTACAGGCCAGCACCTCACATGCTACCAGCAGATTACCTGTGATGACAGACCCACCCAAGTACCGTACTGTTCGTACACAGCTATCCTCGAGGACTCTTGGTTCACATCGAAGTACAGGTTAGAAGCACGTTTTTCAAATGTTCTTTGGATACATCTTGACATTCTGATGTTGTAGCCTTTAATTTGTGTGCTTCTAATTGTTGTAAAAATATTTTTGTTTTATCTTTTGTTTTGTTTTTAATGTCAAATACAATTATGTTACAGCTGTCCAGGCTAAAATTCCCTGCAGAAGCGTTGGTGTCGAAACACTTCCGTTGGAAGTGCCAGTGCCCTTTTTAACATCCACCCCCTTAAAGAGACCACCAAAGAGGCCCTGTGTGGATTTTGAAGAGGAATACGAAGATCCATTTGAGGGAAGCTCTTCTTTGGTGTTTTCCGAAGGCCAGGATGCAACTTATGATCCAGCCAGGGTCGGCGTCATGGGGGGTCATTCGCGGGCCATTCCCCCCCAAATGAGTCACTGTGCCCCCCCAACGCAGGGTGGGCAAGCCTTGTCACTTTGCCATTTTTTAAATCATATAAGTGAAAAAGTTTTGTGTGAAATACATCAGAAATAAAGAATACAAATATAAAACACAGCCTGAGGTGTGCTCACTGCTGCTCTCTGATTGGTGTGTTGCTTGACCAATGACCCCCGACCTTTGTTTTGTTATCATTACGTGGCTGTGTGTTTAGATGAAAGCCCAGTGGCGATCTGTTCATCTGTTACACTGATTATACAGTAAAGCCATCGAAAATAATACGATATACAGTACAGTACAAGTAGCCTACTTCTGGGTCTCTGTTTCATTCAAGCTCGGCTCTGTGTGTGTGTGGCACGAGCGCATTTTGTGAGTGCGCGAGCGGTAACGTGGAATGTTGTTGTTAGCATCTGGTTAGCTAGCTATGCTAACGGATATAAAGAGCTGTTTCTACACCAAGGTGGAGGAGAGTCCTCTCCTGTCAGACTGAGAGGCTCAATAACGTCAGCTCAGTGAGGTAAGGACTCTCTTAGTGTTTAGATAGTAAACTTTAGTGTAGGTTAACTTAACTTATCTCAGTGAGTCTCAAACGGTTTGGTCACCATTTATGTAAACAAGTATTTGCGAGGAATACCTTTATGATCATTATAGTTATTAAAGAATAAGAGAATAAATGAAAAACGGGTATGAAATACTATAGGACAGTAACACAAGAATACAGTTTAAAAGGGGAGTGATTAGTAAAATATCCATAAAGAAAAAGTACATGTGTGTACAGTTCTGTTTCATGTGGATGCTGAGAGATGTAGGCTATCCATAGATCTCTTCATTTTGCTCTCAAAGTGCACCAGATTGATGCATTTAACTTCAATATTTTAAAAATAATCTTCCCGGGGGAGCATGCCCCCAGACCCTCCTAGAGGAGGTTAGGTCCACCCCCACCTAAAACATGTTCACATGGATAGGATACTAAATACATTTGCACACTTTTTTTGTATGGTGGCCTATGTCCATATGTTTCTGTTTTGGTGGTCGTGCCACAACCGTGCATGTATGCACAAGTCATAGGTGCGCTATAAAATAGCACTACACCCTGCAATGTGTGTGAAAGACAATAGACTTTACAGCATGTTTTTTGAAGTTGCGTTGGTGTTTGTGTGTTGGTTGTTGACGGCAGTGTGTGCCCCCCCTTGGTAAATGATTGCCCCCCCATTCGATTTGTTCTAGAGCCGACCCTGGATCCAGCAGAATCCATAACAAATGCTACAGAAACAACAGCCATGTCGTAAGTTACTGAAATATCACTGTGTGAGTTTGTCTATGTATTGTATTTGTTGCTGTATATAATTCAAACATTGATAATAGGGAAACACCAAAGATCTCTAAAGCAACAATCTGTGTGATGGATATTAACTTCTATTTTTTTGTTTTAGTGGTCAAGAACAAAACCCCCCCCAGACGATCAACACATACATCGTGTATGAGACCTGCCTCATGGAGCTTTTTGAATCATGTCCTGTGTGCAAGCGTGTGTGTGATGTACAAACCAGAAGGATCGGTACATTCATATCAGTGCAGCAGCTGTGCCCCCATTGTCAGTTTACAAGAAACTGGAATAGCCAGCCTGTTCTTGGGAGTACTCCAGTTGGAAACCTGCAGCTATCAGTTGCAACCAGTGGCGTTTCTAGGTGTACAAAACTGGGGGGGCAGAAAGAGGTCGGGGGAGAGAGAGAGAGAGAGAGAGAGGGGGGGGACAGAGAGAGGGGGGGAGGAGAGAGAGAGGGGGAGTGTCAAATTACATACTGAAGACCACAGGAGCAACACTGTGAGCGCATACATTTACGTACACAGCGTGGGGATGTCATAGTAATGCACCTTCATACATGGAGTAAAGGTCACCATCACAAAGTAATTCTTAACAATAACAACAACCGTAATGCTTTAGCATTAAAACACCATAGACTGTAAATATAAGGAAAACACAGACACTCATCATCGAGGTCACAATATCAATCGATCCAGCAGAGGCAAAACACAGAAGATCAACAAAATATATGACATAAATGAACTTACCAAAGCTGAAGGCTCACTTGAAAAGAAAAGCGGCACTGCGGTCCTTCCTCTGACAGAATGTGTCTATCACTTTGGGGATGAAGTCCTGTAGTTGCTGGATCAACTGGCTTTCAATTGAAAGCATGGCCAATGCGTTAAGTCGCGGCTGTCCCATGGTGTTGCGAGTGAAAGTCTTTATCCTTTTGAGGGTGGAAAAGTTCCTCTCTGACTCGGGAGTTGTCACTATTATTTTGACCAAAATAACAGTCTCAGCAAACGTTTCCTCCAAGTTGTTCTCGTGAATGGATTTCAACAGAGACAGGGCAGTGTTTCCAGTGTGAAGCTCACTGTGGCGGTAGAGCGTGGTCAGCTCAGACTTCAACTTCTCCTTGTTTCCCAACGCAGGCCACAGTTTCACGGCGCAGTCAAGCTCAGGTGTAGGAAATGACAGGACATGCTGTGGGAAGAATGAGCTGTCAACAAGCTTTGCAGCGATCAAATGGTCACTCTGTGAGAACCTCTGTTCCACCTGTGAGATGACTGTGTCACAAGCCTCCTTGATCACCGGCGCTGTGCTGCTGACTCGTCGGCCTGGCTCGTCTGTTCCATCATGAGCAGTGGCGGCCAATGCATCAGTTTTCTGCCTCATTTTCTGAACATTTTCCTTGAAACGGCAGAGCGCGCTGTTGATCCCAGGTGCATCGATGCTTCGTTTTTGCAGAGTGTTGTATAGAACATCCACTTCTGGCATAAGCAACGAAAAAAACTCCAGGAGCTGCATAAATGCTCGGTCCCGCAGTTTCTTTGACAGGCCGTATGCCTCACTTATGGTGACCGCATCCCATCCTGGTTGTGCGCGTATATGCTTCATACACTGAAGTAGTGCATCTCGGGTCTCCCAAACCGCGTTCACAGTTCTGCTTTTAAAGTTCCATCTCACAGCCGGTGGCCGTGGGATGCGTCTCTGTGTTGCCTCTGCAAGAGCTGCAACACGTTTTGGAGCACCGGAGAAAAAAGTGGAAAAAGCAGTTAGATCTGCAAAAAACACCTTCAGGATGCTCATCCTTGCTGAACACAGTTGCTGCAGGGTCATGTTCAGTTGGTGGGCGTAGCAGTGAACAAACTGAGCGTTTGGGTACGTCTCCTTCATCACCGTCTGTACCCCGCGCACGTTACCGCTCATGATGGCCGCCCCGTCATAGGTCTGAGCGATTAGCTTTTCTTTCAGCTTCAGGGGTTCCAGAACAGCCTTGATGCTGTTAGAGAGACCTACACCAGTTTTGTCCTTTACTTTCACAAACTCCAAAAAACGCTCTGTAACTGTGAGGTCAGGCATAATGTATCGCAGCACAATCACCATTTGCGATTTACAGGAGACATCGGTTGTCTCGTCGGCCTGAACGGCAACAAATGATGTGTTGTCCACTTGCTTGGCTATTTCCTCCCTGTACACATCATACATGCAGTCCAAGAGTTCATTCTGTATGGTGCTTGATGTCCCTTTGAAAACAAGCTGAGCTTCGTAGTGCCGTTGAAGCCTGGAATCGCCCTCACACATTGTCTCGAAAATTGACCTGAATATCCCTGGATTCAGAGAGTCCGCCGACTCGTTGTGGCCCCGCAGTGCTGTCTCACATTTCCCACACAGTTTAATACAGGTGATGATCCCACCAAGCACGTACCTGTTTTCTTCCACCTTCCTATTATGAGAATCAATGCCGCGTCTGTAGGCGCTGTCAATCTGAGCTGCAACATTCACCCTTCCAAGTAATCCCAATTTTACGGCATTTTCCAAATGACTGTTGCTGCTCTCATGCTTCATTGTCCTCTCCGAAAGATGCTTTAAGTCCTTGTAACCTGTCCTCGACCAAGTACCTTGATCTTCACCAAAAAGCAGGCAAGGAAAGCAAAAGAGGGAATTCTTCTGGATGCTCGCCGTTAGCCATTTCTTTTTAGCAAACCACTCAGCGTTAAACCCACGTTTAACTTTGCCCGCAGTCTGGACCATTTGGAAATCCGGTGGATGGTGGGCACCGAGGCGCTTTACCTCCAGTTTCTCTCCGAGACTAAGTGTCTCAAATGTGTGCTCCAGTAAATGGTCAACTTCATTCATTTTCTTTCAGTTTTTTTTACTTCTTTTAATCGCTGGTGATGTTAGCTATATGCTGCTCTCTCGTCTCCTCTTCAAACTACACGTGACGTTTCGCAGCACTGCACACGTGAGTACTTACAGCCAATCAATTCTGAATTATGTGAGATGACGTATGGTGGGGATGGGAGCACTATGCCCCTACGGTCATTATTTTTTTGCCACACACATTAAATAGAAAAATACTCTGAGCATGCGCAGTGTAGTTTTTACAATCACCGTTCACTTAGACTGTGAGAGGGAGGGGCAGGATCGGGTTTTGTCCCACATGGCTCTAAACAGCTCAAAACGGCACTCTAGACACTAATTAGAAGAACACAGACTAAAACAGAAATGTACAGACGAATCAGATTATTAAACATGACCTTAAAATATATTTTATATGTTTTTTTATTTATTTTTTAGTATTTTTTTGTAATCATTATTTGTAATACTTTCTTCTGCCCCTAATGACCCGCCGCCACTGGTTGCAACATATGTCAACGGAGCATCTTTCTACAAACTTTCAAAGGTAAATTAACTGCAGAAGATTGTTTTGCCAATGTTTGAAAATGCAAATGTTGTTGTTGAATAAGATAGGACAAGGTAACAATAACAAGAGTGAGAAAAGGTGGGAATAGGGCACTGTTAGGTAACGACCCATGCTAATATGTAAAGATCTTTTGGGAGGGTGGTGTGGAGAAAGAGAAGATATGTGAAAGGGGCACTGTAGAGTAAGCACCCCTAATGACATGTTCAGCTCTTTCCCTGTTTAAAAAAAGGGCAGCTCATTTGCACTTTCCAGGTTCTCCTCATTGACACATCTACAGGTGATCTTTGAGATTAAAATGTATTCTTGCGGTTTTCTTTCAACCATTAGGTCTTCAAAGCAATGAATATGCAGCTATGCAAATACAACACCTTCCGAAGGCATGCCAGGATGTTCATTGAGCCAGCGATTGTTTCTTACTGGCAAAAATCACAGGAAGGCATGCTACAGAAGCTCCATGCAGAGGAGAAAGTGATAGTTGGTGGTGATATGAGGGCTGACTCCCCAGGTATGTATTTTTTATATAATTCACATTTTACATTTCAGAAAGGGGTTTCACTATGTGTGATTTGTTCAATTAATGGTTCCTGAAAAACATATGCTAAACACTACAAGCAAAAATACAAATTCACCATCCGCAGAGAAAAGTAATTACTGTAAAACATATTTTCACAGGCCACTCTGCAAAGTTCGGAAGCTACACTACGATGGACCTGAAGAACAACAAAGTCGTTGACCTCCAGTTGGTTCAGGTAAGTGGGGTGAAATGAAATATCAATGTTTTTTTCTTTAACACTGTTTGCACGTTATATTTAAAATGTGTGTATCAATGGTTATTTGTATGTGTCATAACAGAGCAATGAGGTTGGTGGAAGCTACCACATGGAGTTAGAGGGCCTGAAAAGGAGTCTGGAGTTGTTAAAGGAACGTGGTGTGACTCTGGACTGTATTGTCACGGACAGACATCTGCAAATTCAGAAATTCCTAAGGGAAAGCAGCATCACCCAATTCTTTGATGTGTGGCACATAGAAAAAGGTATTTTTCTTTATATTAATTTCCATGTAAATAAATCGATTGTAAATACAATCATTATTTTATTTAGACACAAACCCGGCTTCCTACAATCACATTAGTATAATAATATTTTGAGTAAACTTGTATGTATATTAACTACATGTTAAATGTATTTATTAGGGATTTCTAAGCAACTGGAGAAGGCTGCAAAAAAGAAGGACTGCGAAAAACTTCGAGGGTGGGTGAAGAGTATAAGAAACCACATATACTGGACTGCAGCAACCTCCACCACCGGGCCTGAGAGAGTGGCCAAATGGACGTGCAGGATATCCACTCTCATGATGACCCCCTGTTCCCCAAGTGCCTTCATCCACTGCGCATTGCGCAATACCAATGGATGGCTGCAGGTATGTTGTTCATAAACCATATTACATTACTCCTCTATAAATATTTGTAAGGGACAACTATTGAATACAGGATGTTGTCAGACACAATCTATAAAGCATGACAATTTAAATATGACTTTGATTTTCAAATTCTTAGGAAAGCCGGCCTTTCACAAGCTGGAGACAATTCTCTCAACCAAGAGGATTTTGAAAGCTGTGGCCAAACTCAGCCCACACCACCAGACTTCATCTTTGGAGTCATTCCATGCCGTCATCCTGCGCTTTGCTCCAAAGAATGTTGTGTTTCCATTTCTTGGAATGTTGTGCAGGTAAAATAAAACATAGTTACTTACTAATTAGTGACAATTTGTACATTCTTTGCTATTATTTACTTTTTTTTTACTCATGGCGGATATGAAAGACTGTACCTGGCAGCCCTGCACTACAATGAAAACGCTGAGCGTGCACAAGCCACTACATCCACTGGAAAGCCTCTGTATAAACTGCAGTTCCCAAAGGCCAGGAAGGGAGAATGCAGAGCAAAACCAGTAAAGACTGACCCCACATTCCGTAAGTGTTTAAAATATTTATTATACAACTATTTACAAATATAAAATAAATAAATTAAAAAGAACTTTCAGTTTTGTACATGCATATACTAATCTAAACCACATTTTTTGTTGTGCTTTTTTTAACATTGCACAGGCTACGTGGCCAACTTGATGGACCTCATCTTCGACCAAGTCTTTGTGGACCCTGCACCATTCACACAGGAGCTTCTGAAGATACCCATCCCAGAGGACCTGTGTTCCCAATATGAGCGACCTGACAGGGAGGAGGTCATCTCCGGGTATGCTACTCGGTTCAATTTGGCTGCTGTCTGAACCCAACATAGATATTTCGCGGATCAGGAAACTCTCTGCGAATCCTGAGGACAACGCAGGCCGGAATCACCACTCTGATCCTGCGTCCAAGGAAGCTCCAGCACCAGCTCACAAAGCTTCTGTAGGCTAGATACCTGTGACGCCTGAAATCATTAAAAAATATATTTAGTGTCATTTATATATAATACAAGTACATTTAGTTTTTTTTTATGGGTTCAAAGAACCGTTCATTTTGACAATAAAGTTCAGAGTTGATATCAAATGTGTCGTGATTATTCATGTTTGGATGGGTAAAGAATATTCTGATTTCAAAAGCATAAGGTTGTGTGTGGACTTTTGTTGTCGTACACATGGGTGTGTTATGCCATTGCTGTGTAATAATATATATATATATATAATAGTACATGTACAATGAAAGATTGCATACAGCCATATACACCAGTATTTATTTCCATGAACAATATTAGCATTCGTTTTACAATTTCAGTCAAAACAAACAAACAAACCACTCACTGCTCTATTTGCCTCAACTGTAGTCCACCATGTTCAGCTCTGTAAATATTAAATGCATTCTGCAGGGAGAACACATTCAGGCACACAGGCTCCAATCCAGGATGGTCCACCATACAGTTAACAGAGTCTTCAAGTTCCTGCATCCGTCTTGACACCTAGTGTGATAAAGATATTGAATGACATGTGAAAAATGTATTCTCTAAACAGACAACTTAGTGAAGCTATCAAAAATGTTACCTGTGGTATCTCCATGCAGCACATTCTCCGTTCAGAAGGCATCGTGGCGCAATTTGCACATGTACACCTGTAGAAAGAAGTCAATAACAGCTTTTAAAAACACATGAAACTACACACACTGCTGACAACTGATGTGTTGTTGGAGTTATACTTTTTATCACCCTAAGTTATTGAACTTTCCAACGGTTGTTGCACGATGTTGGAAGAAAAGGGCTGTAAACTATTAATAAACGCAATGAGGCCATTGTATATATGCTGAAAATATGAATGTCTCCCTTTATAAATATGTATTGCTGTTTTTGCGTTACAAGCTATAAGTTACAAACTGTACACATTGCATTCTTGCTAATTAGCCAACATATGAACGGAATAAGTAGCACACATCGTAACAAACAGAGTAAAATAAATAGGGACAACAGCTTGTCAACTAACCATTCAGAAACGTCCTGCTGCAACCGAGATCTTTGCACCTCCACCAAAACCTCCGCTGCTTCAGGGTCAGTCTCTGGATCAAATTGATAATACGCTTGAACACATGCATTGCTCTGAGATGACATGTTTATTCCACACGTAATCACAGCAAGCATGGTAACGTGACTCTCACAGGCTCATGCCCCGCTCTTCTGCAGGGGGGCGTGGTCAGCTGCTGCTCAGAATTTTCAAAGACAGGCTTGGAATAGAGCGAAAATGAGTGAAACGAGGCATGGCTAAAAAATGATCTGTTTGGTATTTTGAAAAATAAAATGTATAAATATACCTTATATATGTATGGTCATACACTATATCATTTAAATATAGCATGATAGGTCTCCTTTAAGAGAACCAGACTGGAACTCTATCAAAATGTAACTGTGCAACTAAAAGAATTAGAGAGGCAACATAACAATACAAATGACCCAGAGACACTTAGGAAGGTTAAGGACATTAGAGGGAAGATAGAAAATATATTATTAATAGAGGTGGAGAAGAAAGCTAGGTTTGTAAAGCAAGCATATTATGAAGGGGGGCCCAAAGCAAATAGATTATTGGCTAGAAAGATAAGGGCACAACAAACATTAAACACTATACATAAGATTAGGAATCCTAAAACCAATGAGTTACTAAGAGAGCCGGAGGAAATAGAGAGAGCATTTGAGGATTATTATAGGACACTATACGCACAACCAACTGCAGCAGAGGAAGAGAGTATGAAGGCATTTTTAGAGGGGCTGGACCTACCATCGATAGGAGAAGAACAGAATAGGTTATTGAACTCAGATATTACAGAAAAAGAGATGGGGGACGCAATTAGTAGAATGAAAAATAGCAAGTCACCAGGCAGCGACGGGCTGCCATCCGGAATTAAGCCCCTTACTGTTGGCATCATTTAAATATACTATGAAAGAGAACAAAACTCCCCCGTCATGGAAATAGGCTATCATTACTACAATTCCCAAGGAAGGCAAGGATAAAGAATGATGTAGTAGCTTTAGACCAATATCCATACTTAATGTAGACTACAAGATGTATACGTCCATAATTTCGAAAAGATTTGAGACATTCATGCCCGACATTATTAGATGAGGACCAGACTGGTTTTATTAGAGGGAGACAGACACAAGATAATATAAGGAAAACAATTCATATAGTGGAGGAGGCCCAAAGGAGGGGAGACGGTGCAATTTTAGTGAGTATAGATGCAGAAAAAGCTTTTGATAGTGTGAACTGGGTCTATTTGTATAATGTCTTAGAAAAGTTTGGATTTAATGAAAAGTCAATCAAATGTATAAAATCATTGTATCATGAACCAACAGCTAGAGTGAAAGTGAACGGTAGTCTGACGGATCGGATTAAATGAGAGGTCGACAAGACAGGGCTGCTGTCTCTCCCCAACACTTTTTGATATCTTCATCGAACCATTGGCCCAAGCAATTAGGCAGAACCAGAATATAAAGGGGGTTGAGGCAGGAGGTTTAGAACACAAATTGGGACTATTTGCGGACGACTTGATAGCATACATGGGGCAACCAGACGTGGGCTTCCCGATACTGATGGATTTACTGGAGGAATATGGACAATACTCAGGGTACAAACTAAACGTGACAAAGACACAGATTTTTAGCACTAAACTACACACCAACACCAGAGATCAAAGACAAATACAGAATTAGATGGGACATGGATACAATTAAATATTTAGGGTTAACATCACAAAAGGATTAGACAAATTGTACAATGCAAATTATACGCAGATCAATCAGAATATCAAGAGGGATTTATGTAGGTGGACAATACAGACCTTAGACCTGAGTTCAAGGATTGAAATAGTTAAAATGAATATACTGCCTAGGCTACTGTACCTTTACCAATCACTACCTATATCTATTCCACAAAGTCAATTTATGGAATGGGATAAATGGATTTCAAGGTTTATTTGGGGGGGGGAAAGGCCCAGGATTAGGCTTGCGACACTGCAGCTACCCAAAGGGAGAGGAGGATTGGCAGTGCCGAGTTTCCAGGATTATTATTATGCAGCACAAATCAGAACAGTGGCATGCTGGTGTAATATGGAATACGTAGCTAAATGGAAGGACATCGAAACAAATGGGGAAAACTACCAGATTCAAAAACTACTCAGGGATAAAGAATTATTCAGGACACAGGAAAACGTATTAGACCCAATCACAAAATTCACCTTAAACACTTGGAACACGGTAATAGAAGAGATACAAAATAGGAAAACAGACAAAGATTTTGAGATGGATAACAAATGATAATAAATTCCAGCCGGGAAAAGAAGATGCAGGTTTTAAGCGATGGGCCAGAGGGGGCATCACAGCAATATGTAGGATGGTGGAAGGAAAAAGGGGAAATGCAGAGTTTTCAATATCTAAAAGATAAGTTCGATCTGGAAAGGGGTGACCATTTTAGATACTTACAGGTGAGAGACTATTATATAAAATAAATAAAAATGGATAAAAACAATAAACAAAATGGGGATGATTGAAGCATATGAAGGGAAGAAAGGCAGGGTGATTTCAGCTCTATATCAAGCTCTGTTGGAGAGTAGGGGGAATTCAACTCTATATATAAAAGACAAGTGGGACAAAGAACTCAGGATTGATATGACAGAGGAAGAATGGTATAATGTATGTAGAGTGCAGCATTCAACTACTGGGTCAAGGGTATGGAGGGAATTTGGGTGGAAAAACATAATCAGATACTTCATAACCCCAAAGATAAAAGGGAGGTATGCCCCGGAACAGAACGCATGTTGGAGGCAATGCGGCGAGGTGGGGGCAGACCACACACACATTTTTTTTAAATGCCAAAAGATGAAGGGATACTGGGAGGAAGTGTGGGGAGTATTGAAGGGGATATTAGGCTATGAGGTTCCTAAGACCGGCCTGATGTTATACTTGGGGAATCTGGTGCAGGAAAACACACAGGGTGGGGACAGATACCTGATTAAGGTGCTGCTGGCTGCCAGCAAGAAAACAATTACCAGAGCATGGTACAAAGCAGATCCACCTACAAAGGAGCAATGGCTAGGAGTAGTACAGGAAATATTTGATATGGAGAGATTCACACACATGATGAGGATCCAGGAAGGGAAATTTGAGTCCAAATGGGAAAAATGGGTTGAATATAAAAGAAAAATGAACGACACCACAAATTGAGAGTTGGAACCAGACCATGATGTTGCATTAAAATAGGATAGAAAGCTTCCATGTCACGGTTTGCTTGTTTTTATTATTATTTGTATTTTATTTTTTCTTCTTCAATGGGTCTCTAATTCAAGTGTATACTGAACTATATGTGGTTTTGTATGTCAATAAAAATGTAAGTGAAAAAAATAAATTAAAAAAATGAGATTCATGGTGGCTCTGAGACTTCTTGGAAAATATTTTACATTATAAATGTAGAGAGGGAATAACAGAGCAAGAATCAAACAGAGAGAGGGAGATATTTTCCCATTTGAATTCTAATACATCACCACCTACACACACAGAGCAGATAGTTACCGTGGTAACTACCTGCTTCGAGGACACTGTACCCCTAAAATAACACATAGCGCATTTCTTGCTGCCTACTTTTAAAAATGTTATAAGTAGGGCTGTCAGTCGATTAAAATATTTAAGCGCGATTAATCGCATGATTGTCCATAGTTAATCGCGATTAATCGCAAATTAATCGCACATTTTTTATCTGTTCTAAATGTACCTTAGAGGAATATTTTTCAAGTTTTTAATACTCTTATCAACATATGAGTGGACAAATATGCTTTATGCTAATGTTTATTATCATTTGAACAATGACAAATATTATCATGAATATTAAACACAACAACTTCTGAATATTACAAATATTCGCCTCAATTCAACCTGG